ACTATGAAGGTATGTATTTGTTTTTACGGTCCTCCAATATCCACAGTGATTGGTATTAGCCCGCGTTCGTATCTGATCAGTTTTTCAGAACAAGTAAACCATAACCGATTCTTCAACTAACATACTATTAAATAGCTTAATGCGATTAAGGATTATCATGGCCATTATTTAAGGAATTTAATTAGATTGAATTAAAGAAAGCAATATAAATGAAGAACTAAAAATGAAGAAAGATGAGGCAATCCTCATTAATAGGTACACATGGGTTTTTTAAATTTTATTTTTATTTTTAAAAAGCAAATAAATAAACAATATATGTATATAAGTAAATTTACTATAACAAACTTGTTTTTATTTGCAAAATGGAAAACAAATAAAAATTTGCAAAATTTTGTTACGTACTTTCCGACAAGTTTCGTATAAGTATGGTATATATAAAAATTTGCAACTGTAAAAATAATTATATAAATAGTATTTATTTACTTTGCTTTATTATTTTTTTAATATTACTTTACGTAACATTATAGTTATTTAAACAGGGAAAAAAACAAAAAAACTTCATAGAAGTTGGAAAAATACACAAAGGAACTTGAGCTGTTAAGAAACCACTAAGTTCAGTGTTAGTTTAGATTTAGATTAGATTAGATAAGATTTGGATTAAGAAACTTGTCTGCATATTTGTTATGCAGGTTAGAATGGTTAGAATGTTTTAGGGTATTAACAATGACATATATATTTTTTTATACTAAAACGTTTTGTTAATTGGTGATCCTACAGAAAATTTGGGATCTTCAAATATTTCTTCACAAACTTGACCGTTGAAATATTTGTGCTCAGCAATTTTGTAATCCAGATAAGTGCTACAGTTTATATATTAAATAATTTTAATAATAATATTTTTTAAAATGAGACCTTCCACTACTCCCACAAGTTCAAGTTCATAATCGGAAACCTTCTCACACTTCAGTGTATACAGGTTAAGTTCATAGTTTTGCTTAAACTTATTATCATATAAAACAAAGAATTGTTTTTTTTTATAAATAAAAAAATAAAATGCGCAAAAATTTAGCAAAAATTGAAACAATTGTTTAAATATAGAGCATTTGACAAATTAAGTGAAATGTAAATAATAAATAATATTAATAAATAAAGAAAATAATTTAAATATTTTATTCGTAAGTGGAATAGTTGAATAGACCCTTATTTATAGACACAAACCCTTATTTAAAACATTATTCTTCCTCATTTCTACATAGCAGCGACAGGCAATGAAATATTAAAAGTGTAGGCCATAATCCAGATGATCCCACTTCCACTTTGTTAAATTTTGTGTTATGTTATTATCATTTGAATCAATGCAATTAATAAAATAAAATTATTAATAATAAATAATAAAGTTAATAATTAATAAAATTATTCCGAATAAATTTTTAATTTGATAATAAAAATGTGCAAGACGCTTATTTCAATAATACCTACAGTTTTGATCATCCCTGTGCAGGGTATTTCTTGCAACTCTAATTAAAATTGAAAAATTTTTTCTCATTATATATAATTGTATTTCTCACTAGAACCAATGTTAATTATCTTTTAATATCATTATCACAGAAAAGTATACTGTTCGCAAACTATTTGCCAGTTATAAGGTCTTTTATTATAGAAAAATTTTGGGTTTTAATTTTAGTATCTCTATAGTTAGTTATAGGCCGAAGAAATTAATTATGTTTCTTTATTTTGACAATGATTATAAATTTTAAACTATTATTTCATCATTCTATATATTACCCTCAATATACATACTTATATATTATAAGTAATAGGATAAGCGCGTATACCATATTTAGTTACGGAGAAGTTCTGGATTTATTAATTCTGCTTCCTGTCTTTAATTCTGCTCCCTACCTTCAAAAATATGAACTATTTTTTATTGCTAAACTATAAAATTTACTCAAAAGAAGGCAGCCAGCTCTTTATGTTCTATTGTTCTTTCTATTGTATTGCTTTTATTTGGTCTCATATAATATCCATTCATTTTAGCTTTTGCAAATATATATAATATTTATTAGTATTAAAATAGTTATATCGTTTTAAGATATTTCAGTCACAATTTTCGTTTAAATCCTATATATATGTTGTTATTTCTTCAGATTTTTCTTTTAAATATGCTCTTCGATATATTTTACAAATTTATTTGTTAGTTTAAAACTACAATTATTTATATAAATTTATGGAGCTTCAGATTTCCAGTTATTTGATTTAAATATCATTGATCTTGACGTATTGAAATATTTACCTGTTTAATTTTAATTTCTTATTTTCCAAAGTTAACCGAAATCAATCAATTCCCTGAGAACCCACAGAATTTCATATCGGCATTAGCGTAAGAAAGAAAGAGAAAGAAATATATTCTTTATTGACAATATAATCCATAAATAAAACTAATGATCTAGTATGATGATCTAGTATGATCTTTATTTCATTTCCTTTCTGGGACTCTCACTCAGTACCAGAACACAATTACTGGTGAGGTACATAAATGACGGAAAAAAGAGATAAAATATCACAAAAAATTAAATTAAAAAAACGTATTAATCGAATTTTTTAGTCACATGGTTACATCCTGCTTATATTATTGGTGTATGTGATTTTCTTTTATATATGCGATCATGAAGGGTCTCACTTGTGAATAGGCATAAATAAATATATTTAGATTTTAGAATTATTATTAGTCTGGTAAATAAATATTGAAACTGTATATGCTTACTTAACAAACTTAAAAAAAATTCACTTCCACTTTCTGGAACAGGTTATTAGCATTAAGTTATCGATATCTATCTAGCTATGGGAGTATCCGGGTAATGGAGAAATTGTTGTAGACGATGTGTAGAAAGATTATATTTTTCTTCAAGATTACATAAATGGACTTTTCTTAACTAAAGAAAGTGTGACAGTTCCTATTATTAATTTAAATACAAAACTTTAAAATTTTTTTATACTTAAGTAAGATAAACTGTGATAAAAGTCATTCAATTAACAATTATACGTATATAATTTTTTTTATTTTGAACTAAAATTATTCCAATTGTCAACAATTACTTTAATACAATTAATCATTATTTTTTACCCACAACAACAACTCTAGGATTCCTAATATTGCGACGATTAACACGATTACGTCTGTTAAGTATTATAACACTGGGTCTAGCAGTGTTGCGTCTTCTACGTCGAAATCTACGTGTTCCTGAAATTCTCATATTCGTAAGTCGTACTCTTCGTCTTCTAACTCCAGATATTGTAGTGGTGGTGGTGGTTGTTGTTGTCGTTGTAGGGGCTATTGTTGTGGTTGTTGTGACTGCTGTTGTGGTTGTTGTATCTGCTGTAGTGGTTGTGGTAGGTGCGCCCGTAGTTGTAGTTCCTGCAGCCGTACTCGTTGTTGGAGAACCAACTGTTGTTGTTTGTGCTTTAACATATATCAGTCCAATGATTGTGAGATACGCAAAAATTGCCAAAAGCTTCATTCTATGTTAGCAAATATTTTATATCACTTCAAAATTTTATAGAAATCTGTTTAAAAATTTTTAAATCGAAGTGCTTTTATACGGAACGGTCGATGTTTAATTTGAGCAAATATTTATATCTTTTTTATTTGGGTTTTTTTTTTGGGTGTTTAAAAAGGTTTTGTAAAAACATAAATAAATAAATAATTATTGAACACATGCCATATAACAATATTAAATAAAATTAATTTTGCGATAGGAGTAATGCATACAAAATTTGCTCTGGGTAACATAACCCCCAGACGATTAAATAAACATCTATCACCGATTTGTTATTGCTCCCAATGTGAGTTTTAAATGAATAAATTAGTGATAGACGATCCTTCGATCGCCTGCATACTCTGGTCCTTACTGCGGAATCAGTTTATATATATTCAATTTAATCTTAGCGTGTGCGATAAACCGAATAAAGGTACTTGGACTCACCCTTTTTTTGATTAAAAATTATTTTTCAAATTATCTTGTACCTGCGCCCGATGTAATATTAGTAATGAAGCTTTTTTATTAAGAATAAAATGAATATAACCATTGAAACCATTAAAACCATCTTTAAGAAATAAATAGAAAAAATAGATACTATAAACTATCTATTATTATGGCGGTGTGCGAGTAAGTTGATGGTAAATTGAGGGAAATAGTAAATTAGAATTTTGAGAAGGGTAAATTAGATAAAAATTTGGTAAACTAATTATTACCATTGTGAAACTTTTATAAGATGTTTAATAAATAAATAAATAATTTTGAAAACTTTAAACCAAAAATATTAAATACATTAAATTTCAATTTACTTTACCTCAATTTTAGAGAATTCCACACTCCATAGAAAGAACACAGAAAAGGTCATATATAAATATTTAACATTCTAAATTTATCTAGTTCAGGAAGCCAGTAATAAGGTGTAGTGGGTAACACTATACATTATGAGATTGGCGTTAGTGAGTTTAATCCTTAGTTGTCTTACTGGGTTAAATACCCTGAAGGGTGAACAGCATGGTGTACTTCAGAAATATATCAGGATAATATATGAATATTTAACATACTAAATCTATTAGTCAGGAAGCCAGTAATAATGTATAATTATTTCACATTATAAAATTCACGTTAGTGAGTTCAGTTAGTATTTGTCTCACGGTGTTAACTACTTTAAGGGCTGAACAATATGGTGTTCTCAAGAAATATATCAAGATAATGCACCAATAAATTCCTCATTGAAAAAAATAAATATATGTTGGAAAGATGAGGAATTGTTTGGAACAAATAAGATTGTGGTTTAGTCTAAAATCGAACCAAGAATAAAATATTTATAATAAAATATAAATAAAATACATATTATTATTAATCATTACTTAACAATTATTACTTTTATTACTATTATTATTAATTATTACTTTGTTTACAAATTACTGTTAATTATTATTAAAATCAATCATTTATTTTAAACACAAGAAATTGTTAGTATTCCAATTTGTTAAAAAATAAATACAGTAATATACACATTTTTAATACAACTTCATTGGGACATAAAACCCTGAGGTGAATTATATTAAATTTAATGAAATTAATCTAATTTATTTTTTATTTTTTAATTAAATTATGATGTATCATTGAGATATTCATACTCGTTGTCGCTCTCAAAGTAAATATTTACATCATTGTTATCATCACTGTCTGCAGATCCGATTTCGTTTTCTGATGATTCAGATTGCGTGTCTAAACAAAAAGAGCAAATTTCAATTACGACAATTTAAAATATATGAAAAATCTTAATGAATTAAAGACAGGAGCTGACAGTGCTGTAGTAAAAAATGGATGCAACAATCTGCTATATAATATATGCACAATACTAGTGCATTGGAACTTTAATAGAAACAAACGGAAGCGTGGAAAGCAACTTGTAGAATTAATAAAGATTAAACAAACTTGTAAATATAAATTAATATAATTTTTTTGTATATATTTAATTAGAACTTACTAAATAATCTGGCTAAACATCTTCTTATTTTTTCTCCATTTCTATCGTCGTCATTTTCTGTTGTAATTTCTTCTGGTTGCTGTAGTTCCGAAGCCTGCTGTTGCGTTTTAAAATCACGTATCCAATCTTTGTTCACAACATCATTATTTTCATATAAAAAGTTGTGTAAAACGCAACACGTTCGTATAATACTGCTGGCGTTATCGATTTTGCTATCTATGCCCTTTCCTATTCTTGGAAATCTTGCCTTGAGCTGCTCAAAAGCATTATCAACTACTTTTCGACATTTAGATAATTGGTTGTTGAATGTTTTTTGGGCAATATTAGCACTATCATCGCAACTATAAGGTTTCATTACTCTTGTAGAAAATTTAAAGGCAGCATCTCCAAGGACCAAAACTGGGACTTTCACACCATTAATCACCTTACTGTTTTCTTCTAGCACACTGCAGTTATCCAATTGCTGTTTTAATGACGAGTTTTCGAAAATGTCAGAGTCCTTTACTCTTCCGGGATTACCAACATTGATGTAAAGAAAACGGCATCTACAAATAAATATTGAAATGTGTCTAATGCTTATTCAATGGTTCATTACATAAATTAAATACTGACCTAAAATCGACTAAAGCAAATAAAACCATCGAGTACCAGTCTTTAGAATTATAATAGTCATCCGCGTTGTCAAATTCTGGTTTTACTTTAATGTGACAAGTATCTTAAATTTTGTAGACATTGTATTACGATAAATTTATTTTAACAATAGTAAATCAGGTACTTACCTATTGCACCTAAACATTGCGGAAAGCCTAAGCGCTCGAATCCGCTGATTTGCTCTTGTACTTCTTCACTGTTTAATGGCAGGGCGCTTATATATAAAGGTAGAAGAGTTTTCCATACCTCTTGACAAAATTCATTGAAACACTTGCAAACTGTTGACTTTCCAACGCCAAACAGATTAGCAATTTTTTTAAATTCAATCGATGAGCCAAGGGCATACAAAGCGATTGCAACCCGTTTTTCCAAACAAATTGCTCTACGAAAGTTTGTGTCATCTTTTTTCAAAGTCTGCAGCAGTTTGCATAGTTCTTTGAAAGAACTCGTGCTCATGCGAAAATTTTCTTTGAAGAACTCAGGGCCATTTTTTTGGCAATCCTTTTCCCAAAACTTTCTTGGTCTTTTCTGAAATAACAATTTGTATTCTCAACGATATGTAATTTAACCAATGCATGCACTTACCAAAGCCCAGCATTGCCTCCGTTTATTTAGGAGTATTGATGAAATCAATGCCAATTGTTTTTTCTTTATAAGCATTAATTTTCTTTGATGCAATTGACGTCGTTTTCTATATTCATAAATTGTGTTATGCATATCCACCACACATTTACTAGCGGCTTCACACATATCTAATGTGAATTTTATTAAATTCTCCTTATTTTCCATATTGTAACGCACAAAAAATATTTAATTAAATTTTTTAATTTAAATAAATACTTTAATCGACAATTAATTAAAGCTAATGTAAAACAATAACAAACTCGGTACCGTTTGTTTATATTTACTTCGTGTGACAGTTGATAATTTTACAAAATTTCCCTTTCAAAAATTTCCCTTCACGCATGGTTGCATTCGATCTTTAGTTCATTTTAAAACCTTTAACCAATTTTTAAGCATATTCACACCGTCTCATTTATGCACTCGGTCATTTATAATAATCAGTTTTAAAGTCGAACGTTCTCATTATAATGATTTAATTTTTACAGCTGATCGATTTTTTATATGTCAACAAAGCTATTAATGAAGGTTCGTTGTCGTGCAATGCACCTACGCAATACAATGAACTGTCAGTATCTATTTGATAAATTAATAAACTTCACTCACTAATATATCACTCCAAAAATAAATACATGTAATGGATATATTAAATCATTTGTATATATATATATTTATTTATATCTAATACATATATTTTAAATAATGAAAACAAAGATTTTATTAAATACTTACATAGTTTCTCAGGACGTTTGCTTACAGTTCAATTTATTTCTGAGGAGTGCACTCGTTATTTTTCGACTTAAATGAGTGGATTTATTTATAATAAGATCACTCTTTGTATATTGAATTCATCTCATTAGCGGCCTCATCAATAAAACTGCGTAAATGAGTCAAGGTGAATGTACTATTAGGTAAATTGTTTGATTTTCTTTAAAATTCCCTTTTCACTATTAATAACCAGTAAATTTTGTGTTTTTAAATTAATATTTGCATACTCGGTTTTTACAATAAATTGTTTTAAGGAAATATTCTTCTAATTTAAATAAATTAGCAGATAATTGTGCTAATGAAATAGTGTCAACATATAAATTTCTACCAAAATTCTCACTATTTTTTGCTTGGCTCATATTACAGTCGGATAGTGACAAAGAATGTGCCTAGAGATCTCATTTTCTTATAAGTAGAGTCGGCTATTTATGATCTTAGACTATTTTATTAAGGTTGTTTCGTAGGCAAAAGTGAAGTGCCAAATAATCTAGCAGTAAACTCCATTGTTTCTTACTGAAAGTACCGCTTTATAGTACTTACAAGGATAAATTAACTCTTTAGCTTGGCTGTTATCTAAAGTGTTTTGCCAATAGTTTTTTATTTGAGATTTAATCCATTTTTCTATCAAAGGTTTCGCAGTCGAATAACTTGACTCACAATAACACTATGAGCCGTATAATTGAATGATTGAATCCAGTTCTTACGAGACTTATGAGATAGTTAAACCCTATAAGTGATAAGGAAATGGTTAATTCACTACTGGCGAGATTATTTATGGTTTCATTGTTATTTATTTGTGTGTTACCAGCAAAACGCTATTCCATTCATATTTCTGAGTGGCTACAGCAAGTTATATCAGCATGAACTCTCTAGAGCACAATGTACTAATTACTGCTGGACTATATGTGTAGATACAGATATAGGTGCCATTTAACCCTTCTGCTTGACTCAGGGTAAACCTCATTCTCGAAAATTCAACAAAACATTACAAAAAAAATATAAACAAAAGTTATAATATTTAATCGAACTTAATAATTTCATATATTGTATACATAAAATTCCAACATTAAATTAAAAAAGTACTAGTACATATATAATTAGAAAAATCTCCTCAAAATCAAATACTTATTTAATACAATCAATGTAGATTATAGATTTTACATAATTTTTTAATACATATTTTTATTAACTTTAACCTTTTCAATTTTGTTAACTACTTTTACAAAGTATTTCTTATTAACAATTTCTCTTGATATTAATGGATATATAGTACATATGTGTTTTAAGAACATTTTTAAAAAATTTTACTATTATTAATTTGATTTATTAATATTGTTTATAAAGGTGTGTTATCATATCATTTAGTTTAATTATATAATTTTCTATTTTTTATATAGACTATATGTAAAGCACACCAACTTATAATTAAGTATGTATCGAAATTACTCGGAAAGTTGTATAAATATATATATAAGTATTTTTATTTTACTTTATACTTGATGGTTTTTATTTATGAAGACTGAATCATGACTACATACAAATATGCAAAATAATTGTTTAAAAAAAACCTTTATATAAATTTTTTATTTAACACAAACTATGTAAAAATCATACAAAAAACAAATGCAATTAAGAAAAAATTATTAGAAATACTACTAATATATATATATATATATATATGTGTGTGTATAAATACAATAAATTAATAAAATTATTGTAAATTTGTTTGCGTCCCTATAGCTTTTAGAGCTTAAACCTAAATATGAAACACTGCTCTCTTCTCGTATTAAAAATATGCTAATATAAAACATTATATATTAATAAACAACCGAAATGAAAAAAATTATTAATTAAATTATTATATATGTAACAAAATTATAATAAAACATATCAGTTTTTAATGACAAATTTTCCTTTTGAAGTTTGGCTGCTGATGCATTAATTTGGTGACTACGAACGAATCCTGCTGCTTCGTAAGCTTTTTATGCGCAAAAATATTACATGAAAAATTCTTCAGTAGAGTGTGATAGTGGGAGTCACGTCCTTCCTGGTCTATCCAATATCGATATTTCTATGACACGCAAGCCACGATAGGTGGGATCGATAATTTGTAGACCTTTAGGATTGTAAATGCGTTCATTTTGGGAAGCGATGAATTTGGAAATTTTACGAAGTGTCTGTAAAGATTGTATATGAAGAATTATATTAATATTTTAAATATTCGTTAATATCAATTTGTGCTTTTTTTGCTGGTTGTAATGCCATTTGCTATTTGACTTTGTATAACTACCTGTTCTGATATACTTTATATGAGTGAGAGAACTCCAACTAGTCATAATTTTAACATGATTTTTGGATTGACTGTCAGCTGTAGGTATGGATCGGATGGAGTAGAATATACGACAAAGAGAGTAAACTTGAAACACATTCAATGATTTGAATGTTGAGCACTCAATGCAGTTCCCTGATATTAGTATGCATATAAAAAATTGCTATCAATATGTGTGCACCAGCAAAGTTGTGATAAGCACTATTTAAAGCAATGCTTATCGACAAACAGTAACACAAACAGTCATACGACGACTTGCCATGACAATTTTTTGCTTTTTTAGTTTTGGTCAAAAGGCTTGTAATATAAACATCAGTCATTAAATAATCACGATGCCTATGAGGAAGAAACAAATTAGTCAGTGAGATGGGTGGAACTTTGCAGAAACCCCCCAGTTATCAAAGAGTAAAAGTATAAAAGAGTAAAGATGCACTAACTTGGAAAACGCTCAACATTAGACTACTATTTTGTTTATTTTTGATTGTTTCTAAGTTTAAAAGGTATATGTAAGCATATCCACATAAATACATTTGGTTTAATTCTTATTTAAAGGCGCAAAATCTAACAATTAATATCGAGCAACACTGAGTAAACGTGAGGAGCTTTGGACAATCTTAGCACCGTGACCAAATTTTAATGGAAATTTCTCTTTATTCATCTCTATATATTCAACAGTTTCTTATGCTATGTCATCAGTAAATTTATTTGTTCTATGAAAAATTCATAGAAGATTGACATTTAGAATATAAAAGTAAAAATCTAACAGAGACAAGTCGTAACAAATCTCAGATTGTTGTTGTTTTATTGGTAACCTGCAGAAAATGACAGATGAATGGATTCCAAGATGTATAGTTGGGTTAGTGTGATGTTTAGGTAGAGAATTCAGAGAGGTGTTTTATTGAGTATAACGACTTAAAGTACTATCGGTTTTCGGACAACTTCGATGATAGGATTTATGTTTTTTTTGCGCAAATATTGACAAATTACTCTTTAATGTAGACCTTTAATTACTATGGATTCTTAAATAAATCTGTTTATAGAATTTGTGTTTTTTGGGTGTTGAAGTTGTTAAATGAGTCTATGATGTGTACGTAGAAGTACTATCGCTTACTGCAGAAATCTGACGATAGTATTAATGTATTCTTTGCGTCGATGTTGTCAAATGACTCTTCAATGTGACACAGATGTTCTTGTAATAGTTAAGTCTCAGTTTTTCTTTTAAAAAAGTATGATTGTCATGCTGCAAATTATAATGATGAAGCTGATTTATTAATATATGTATTCTGATGTACGGCTATCTGTGTTAAAATTTTGATACCGAATGGAAGCAATGCATTCTTCTACTTATTAATATAATATAATAAATATCATTATAAATGTATAGACTAAAAGTATGTTTTCGCATTCCTAGGCTGGTCTTTGTTTAGAGTAAACATTTCTTTTTTGAAATGCTTGCAGCACATTATTATTGAATTTAAAATTAAATTTTAATAATATGATTAGATATAGAAGTTCATATCAGAATTTATCTCTATTTTCATTCATTGAGCCACACACGTTATTGTCTGTTTTGTAAACTGTCTATTGATATGCCTAACTTTTGAATGTTTATTGATAATCAATTAAAGTTACTTATTTTAATCTTTTTAGTTCATTTCTAATTTTGTTTTTATAAACCCACAACTGATATATGTTTACACCTGTACTCAATGACTTTCTGAGATGAGGATAGTAAGAGTAATATTGAATTAATGGCATAATCCTATTTTATATGCGGATTTTGTATGCTATTAAAATAGTGTGTTTCTTTAAATACACTTTGAAGAGACAGATGATGAATTTCAATAGTGTCTCAATGGCTTCAACAACAAGACAGTACAATATACAGATTTGCAGAGAATAATGATTCTTTTCTTAAGAGCAGTGTAGTTTTTGGAGTTAGTTGTGCTGCTCCCTTTTTCGACTTCAATGGGTTCTATTCGTTAAAAAAATCTTATTTGATAGTAAGTTCGTTAATGGTTATTTGAAGTTGGATCAAAATATTTAAATGATGATGTATTCAAGTTAATACTGTTTCATGTGTAAGATGATATTTATACCTTCTCAACATTTGTTGAATAATTATCATATATTACGATAAGAAAAAGTTTTTATCTTTTA